TCTTTTGTGATTGAGTTACCTCACTCAGGATGATATTTTCTAATTCCATCCATTTACCTAAGAATTTCTCAAATTCATTGTTTTTAATAGCTGAGTAATATTCCATTTTGTAAATGTACCACATTTTCTGTATCCATTCTTCTGTTGAAGGACATTTGGGTTCTTTCTAGCTTCTGGCTATTATAAATAATGCTGCTGTGAACATAGTGAAGCATGTGTCCTTGTTATTTGTTGGAGCATCTTCTGGGTATATGCCCAGGAGTGGTATAGCTGGGTCCTCAGGTAATGCTATGTCCAATTTTCTGAGGAACCACCAGACTGATTTCCAGAGTCATTGTAACAGCTTGCAATCTCATGAACAATGGAGGAATTTTCCTCTTTCTCCACATCCTTGCCAGCATCTACTATCACCTGAGTTTTTGATCTTGGTCATTCTGACAGGTGTGAAGTGGAATCTCAGGGTTGTTTTGATTTGCATTTCCCTGATGACTTAGGATATTGAACATTTCTTTAGGTGCTTTTTGGCCATTCAAGTTTCCTACTGAGAATTCTTTTTTTAGCTCTGTACCCCATTTTTAATAGAGTTATTTGGTTGTTTGGTTATTTGGTGGGAGTCTGATTTCTTGAGTTCTTTGTATATATTGGAGAGGTTTAAAATTGCTCTCAGATTACTGTAAATGGGGGCAGAACAACTCAGAGCCAAATAACAGGCTCTAAAACCTGTATCCTTGACTTGTGCTGATCTTCAAAGATGCTCTGGAAAGAAGAATGAATCAGACAAGTTTTGCTGTGAGAGTTCTCTAACAAACCCATCTTCTTAGGTATTATGGGGAATAGGAGGGTTTTCCTACAGCAAAACAACCATGTATTAAATCCAGGAAGATGGGTGTGTAGACTAGAAAGAATAAATTTTCTGTATGGAGCAGAAGAAATAAAAAAACAGGAGTCACAAACCTCCCCACTCTCTCTCCTTCCTTCCTTCCTTCCTTCCTTCCTTCCTTCCTTCCTTCCTTCCTTCCTT